CCACACCCTTCAGAATCCTTCTCTAATATCTACCATTGTTCAATGACCAAAATGTACCTTGGAATGAGCATGACGCTCACTGAAATTGTCTATTCAATCATAAGAAAATTATATTCGAAATCAGCACAAAAAACAGAGTGGAGTAGACTATGTTGCAAATATTATTCTCGACATCCATTTTCTCGCAAAGAGAAGGCTCCTATCTCCTGCAGGATTCAGTAAAAAACGAAAGTCATGCAAACCTGATTTTAATCATGGAAGGTAAGTTCAAAGTGGATGAAAAGTTCGCACAACACAAAGTGAAATTTATCTAAATAAGAATAAGAGTGTTTCAAAGACTTTCATTTTTCACTAAATCCTGGAGGAGATAGGAGCCTTCTCTTTGCGAGAAAATCAATGTCGGAAATAATATTTGAAACATAGTCTACTCTACTCTGTTTTTTTGTGCTGATTTCGAATATGATTTTTTTATGATTGAATAGACAGTTTCATTAAGCGTAATGCTCATCCCAAGGTACTTTTTGGTCATTGAACAATGGTAGATATTAGAGAGGAGTCATAAAGTCAGCATTTTTGCCATCTTTTGCCATTACATTTTTGTAGTTGATAGTTATTGCTAGTTCATGTAAAAAAATGGCTCCAGGTCTACAGAGATCACTCTAAGGTGCGTTTTGGATGGTGGGGACGGCACTGAAAAAGTGAAGGAAAGTTCAACCGACCAGGCTGAAATTTATAGGGAAGACTACTGAGACTATGCCAAGCGTTTCCTGAAAATTTCATTGAAAAGTCCCTAAAACGTCCCCCGCCCTTTATAATTTCTGATCAAAATGAGCCGGTAGTAGAAGGGTTAAAGGATTAGGTATTGTATTATTTTGAGTTTTATTTCAATTCATTACTTTTTTTACATGGATGTACCGGGAAATATAAAAAAAAAACTGCCAAGCGTTCATATCAATGACAACTGGCCTGTCAGCCGATTGTGCTCCACAAACAGACACCAGGGAAAAGGAGTATGATGAATATTAACTTCTATTTCATATTGTTCATTGGTGTTTTCATTAACCAAGCTTAATCGGCGTTGATCACAATCCAACGTAAGTGTATAAATATCACCGTCTGGTCTCATGCTCTGTAATTCAGTACGAAGTAGTCCATTTAGATTAATAGCATAATTTATTAACCAACCGTACGCGGAAGGACTATCACAATGACGACCGGCACTACCCTCACGTGGTACAAGTGGTATACTTCGTGAGCGAATACCCAAAAATGGAATGCCTTTATCTACTCTGATTCGAACATGATGAATACCAGAGGAATATGAGTGACTGCCAAGAGCAGCCACAAAGGCCCGACCTTGAACTTGAAAGCCCACCAATGTTCGTCCATTGTCCAGTAACTGTCCTTTTTCCTTATGAGATGTATAAATATCTACGAATTTCTCATCGATCACTTTGTTCACAGTGGTAAGTTCTGTCGACGGAGGTAAAGAATGAGCCATATTTTTCTTCTATACTGCTACTGGACTAAACACGCCGAAATAACAAAACCTTTGCTTTATATTCTTGTGCGTTCTTATCTACCTCACACAAACTACGATTTGTGTTTTGCTCGTTCGTAGATTCATTCGTTTAATAGCAACGCTCGTCACGTTTCTCACTTCCTTTGAGAGAACAGAAAGAGAAAAATATTTATTGCAGTATCAGTCGTCAAATAAAATATGCGCAAGAGATCATGTTTTTTATGTGTGTCTATTTAGTAGCATAGTTAAAAACGACGGACGAAAAACTATAACAACGCTCGTTGCTCTTCTCACTTCCTTTGAGAGAACAGAAAAAGAAAAATATTTATTGCAGTATCAGGGTGTGGGTGTTATTCTCTCATCCAAACCTACATCCTCAACTATGTCGTCTATTGATTACTAAATACATTGACATTTAACATAAATTTATTTTTCATAACAAAAGCAAAAGCATGTATGCAAATAATACGACAACAACAAAAGCGAAATTAATAATATCTGTTGCAATATACGAGTTTATTTATCCACATATATCTACATAACAAAATAAAATTAGCAGAATGTTAAAAATAAAAACACAAAACTTAATACCCGATTGAGTGCATCAAAAAGTTGATCGATTTTCTCTGGTAAATGTTCAACAGGATGAGAATATCTTGATCTCATTATTGCATCTTGTTCTACTCGTATTTCTTCATCTGTTGATTTTTTTAAACCTACAATATTATCATAAATGATCAATCAGAAATTCAATTTAAATAATCATACCTGTCCAATGAAGAAATTTTCGTAATGTAAATAAGAATATATCTTCATCATGTTTGATATTACCTCTTACTTGTCGAAAACTATCATTAATAATCGAGATAAACATACTTAAACATATAAATACAACAAAAAATATGAATATACTAAAACAAAATGGACCAAGAAACGATGAAGCTTGAATAAAACTACTCGAATCAAATTTCAATAACGTCATTTGAAATAACATTTGTGCTGTTTTTAACATATTTGAACAAGTTGAAATATGTGAAACAAATAATAAATAAAATAAACAAACAAAGGCCAAATATATAAATGAAAACATTGAGCAAAATGGAATAAGCCTTTGACTTGCATGTTGTAATGTTTGACTAAATAACGACAGGTATCGATTATAACGACAAACATGAAGAAATTTGATTGTACCAAAAAAACAACAAAAACCAAATAAAAATGTTAAAATACAATCGACATAAGCTAAAAATTGAAAATTAATATAAACATATCCATTAGTTTGTTTAAATAACTGGCCAATTCGATTAAATTCTTGATAACGCCAAAAATATATTCCAATAGCTGTCCATGAACAAATTATTATACCAACTTCAATATAAGACCAAAACTGTTGAAAATACGTCCATTTTAAACGAAATAACGACTGAATTTCAACGAACATAAAATAAAGAATGAGTATAATGTAGAAAATTGCACAAATCAGTTGAAAAGTTGAAGCAAAAACTAAACGAAAACTAAATGGTTCAATTTGAGATTGAGGTATAATTCCACCAGTTGACAAGAATTCAGTCAGTAATATAACTGAAGTAAATAGTTGTGCATTTGGATTGTATAAACTAATTTGAATAATAACAGCACGTGTTTGACTATCAATCCATTCTAATCGATGAAGTCGAGACAAATTGCTTTGAAGATCCGAGAAACGACCTCGAAATTCATACACATATCCACCTCCACCATAAATTCCATGGTCTCCAACGTAAACATATGTATCTAATTCTTTACTAGATTGGTATGTAAATGATGGATATATTTGTGTTGTTTCATTGATCCATCCAGGTTGAAATGAACGTGTTTCTTCATTTAATAAACTGTAATCATCTTGACAATGACTTATTATTCTGTGCGTTGGACATAGAGTTGATTTTACACGCAATTGTCTCATTGTTGCCCATCCGATCAATCGATTTGTCTTATCATTTATAAAACCACTCAGATTTCGAGGTATTTCATTGTTATACCATTGTTGAGCACGAAGATTTGAGATAAAACTATTTTCTAACCAATTCCAATATTGATTAATCGTTGAAATCTAAAATTTAACAATGAATTATTTATTTTACATGAAAAAAAAGAAAATCAAACTTTTGTATAATCATAATTCATTTGTTTTGTATTTAAAAAGAATTTTCTTAAATGATCAACTTGATGAAAAGAATTTTGATCTCGATGTGAATATGTTATTACACAAAGAACAAGAAGAAAACTTGTATAAATAATCATTTCACGAATAGTTGACCACATTTGTAATTCTTTTAAGCGTTTCAATCGTGCGCAATTCACTTCTGCTTCATTCAAACGTTTGAAACGAATGCAACGATGAAAATTAAAAAAACGTTTTTTCTAAAAACAAGAGATTTGTTTATTTAATCGAAAAATAAAAGCAAACCTTGATCAAAGAAAATCTTGTTTTAACATCGTCGAATGTATTAAAATGAACATCATCCATATCTACAATTGTTTCTTTATTTTTTCGTGCGAGAAAAGCAACGAAAATAGTCAAACATAAAACCTGTAAATAACTGATGAATGAAAAAGAAAATATAATAAATAGACACAAACTTTCATTGGTTGTGTAAGAAATATTGATGAAAAAAATCCAGCTATAATTGATGTTAACCATTTTTGAGTTTTTAGATCACCAAGTTCAATTCCACGAACGATAATAAAAAATATTGAAAGTATAACTAATAAAAGAGAAAAACCATAAGCAACAAAAATGAACCACCAAGGAAATGTGAATTTCGAATGTTTCACTGCATATAAATTTTGACGTGGTTTTAAACGTTGAAATAATTGAACGAGTAATAAACTTGGAAGCAATGCAAGTAATTCAGTCATTATACCAATGATAATCTAAATAATCTAATAAAAAATAATTTAAAATAGAATAATGTACAATACTTGTTGAGAACTGATATAAAAAGGGCCAAGTGTTAAACTAGCAGTATTTTTTGTTTCATTTGATATACCATAATACATTATATTGAGAAATATTGAAATATAAAATAAAACAAAACAACATGTACATCGTTGTACACGTGTAAATCGATTTACTCTTAGTCGAGAGAATATTGAAAACCAAAGATGATTATTTGCCATACTATAATATGTATGTTTCGATAGGACATGTGAAAATTTTTGTCGTTCATCATCATTCGCTACATATAAAACACGTTCAATCTATTTAGATTAAAAAAACGAATAATCCTATTGTATAATCATCAATTAAATATCTAACCTTTCCATCATCTTTTTCAACTGCTAACCATCGTTCACAAATGAAATAAAATTTTTCCATTGTTTGTAAATCTCGAATAATTATATATTTGAGAAACCATGATGCTGATCCACCTTGACCTGTATTATCATGCCAAATATGAATACGATTTAATATTCCCAATGATCTAAAGACAGATTTATACTTGATTAAATAAAGTGAATAATTACTTTGATGTAGCCATAAGAAATGTATCAGTACCACTCCGTTGTAAAATTGATCGATGTGGATCATCTAATGTTCGAACTTTTGTGATATCATTATCACCCGAAAGAATAAAATGAACCTATGAAATAAAATCTTTACTAAACATCTTATTGACAATAAAGTTTTACTTTTGATTTTGTTCCGGAACTTTTTCGATGACCAGTAAAGACAATAATTTGATAAAAATATTCATCCAATGGGTAATTATCTGGCATTAATGTTATTTGTAACATTTCAAGATCTTTTTTATCTTGATGATGTGCATAAATGACTAATAGAATATAAATAATACAAATACTAATAATAATGAAATAAACTGTTTTATTTTTTAGAAAATCAGCATTTGCAAAAACATATTTCCAATTGATTGGAGATGGTAAAATAATAAAACCACCTGCAAATGTGGCTAAATGAGGAGAAAAACATTGTGTTTGTTGGTAATCTGTCAAATTTCCAACCTGCGTTTTGAATATTAGATATAATTTAATAAAAACAAAAAAAACTTACTATTAATCCATCTGATTGCCAAGTTTTATTTGTATTGAGATAATAACAACCAGATGCATAGACTCGAAGTTCATAATTCGATGTGAAATTATATCGTTCGTTCGTAATCGGTGGACTTGTAAGTGAAGAATTCATGCAAACATTAATGATTTCTGTTGAATTCAATTCTCGTAATCCAAATATGATCGACTGATGATCAACTGTTTTTTGATTATTAATAGAATATGTATAGATACTATCATTCGTTAAATCTATTATTTTAAAAGATCAAAAAAATTCAAGGATACATATAGCAAAGAATATCTTACTTGAGGGACAAAATAATGTCCACCCGTCTATTTGATCGATTGAACTATTTAGTTGAGGTAAACTGTCAAATTTATAAATAAATAAATAGCTAACATTTATATCCAATGGATGAATTTCAAAATGAATTGAATTAGAAAGCGTATTTGTAATATTGATATAATGTAAATGAAATAATTGATTATGTGATGTCGAATTAATTGAAATAACATCTTGGAAACTCATTGGTGGCATGACTAAATTTGGATCTCGGGGAATAATTAATTCAATTGGGTGAGTTATGTTAGTTTCAATCGATATTTCATCACCATTGTCATGAAGAATTTTTAATGAAATCGATCGAGATGAATTCGTATGCAATTGAGAGTTTAATTGATCAGCTATAGCAAGTGGCTGCATTATTGCCTAAAAGTAAATCATTTAAAGAAAACGATTGAAAAACACAAACAAAACAAACTTGAATTGAAACTGTTGTATTTGTATTGAACGTTGATGGAATACGAATATATGCATTTTCAGTATATTCAATTAATTTATCTGCTAAAGATTCGGAAGATATTGTTTGTAATGAAAAGAAAATTGACGATGAATTCAGCGTCATATTTTGATCAATATTCAAATGAATATTTAATGCAGAAGTTAATAATGAAATAGTTTGAGTAGCTTGATTGGTAATTTGATTTGCTAATTGTTTTTGATAATAAATATTACGATTTTGTTCGATTGTTTCAGATGAAAAATCATTTCCATTAGCAAATAAATCTAAAAATTATATTCAAAAATAATCTTATTTTTATTATAGAATAAAAACGATTATACTTAGATTAGACCATTCAGATTCGAGATCAGTATCATAATCTTGAGGTAAAGTATTTGCTTGAGAAAAATCTAAATCAAGAGTATCTATCCGTCCCTGTAAAGGTCCATTGACAGCCTATATAATTATTAAAATTAGTTTTTTTTATCATAACAACATGAAATTTTCTTACAGTTATAACATTAGTGATACACTCAGCAATTGCCACAGATGCTGTATAAACATCTTCATATGGAATTCGAGTTGCCATCGAATATAAACTCATTGATAATTGATAACATTTGTTTGAGGCAGTTGTCTAGTTTTATTAAAAAGTAATACAATCTTATTTATAGAGTAATCATCCTATTGTGAAATAGGACGTAGTCTTTATTTGAACTTACTATAGCTTTTCGTGTTAATTCATTTGTTGCTTGTGTTAATTGAGCTAATGCAGATGCTTGTAATTTGATACTATCTGAGTTTGCGATGATTAAATTAGTTGTAAATGAGATAAGATAATCGCGAATATTTGCTTGAATATTTAATTTTTTATTAAATTCAATCAAAGCTGATTCATTCATCATGTCAGACATAGATGAAAAACGTGAACTTCCTAATGGTGAAATAAAGATACTCGTACTAGGAACACCACCTATTTATGCAAAAGAAAATTTTTTATTTTTATTTTTATAATAAATAACTTTTACCTAAAACCGCTTTTTTCACATTTTCGATATTCATTTCATTGAATATTTGTGATAATGAAATAATAATTTGTCCAACGAAATTTTGATTGCCAGTTGCAAGTAACTGAAAAATAGGATTGTTATTATTTGTACTTGATGATAGGTTTAAATTATCAATGAAATCATTAATCTCAGTTGTATCAGATAAAACATTAACTGAAGATAAATTGTATTCAGTAATACAATCAAATGTATCTCGAATGTAAACAACTAAATTCACTAATGATTCATTGCCACTTCCAGCAGGTAATCGAAGTTGAAAATTTGATACTGATGTAAAACCAATTGTCAACAGATTTGATCGATCTGTGCTCCAAACTAATAGCAAGAAAAACTAATTGCGTTGAAAGAAAAGTTTGCAAACAAAAATCTTACGATAAAATGAATAATCTTTGATACCAGCTTCATCAAACCAATTCGGACAGGAGATGTTAAATAATGTACTAGTTGTCCCATTTAAAGGATTAATAGAACATGAACCATTGACTGGAGGTTGATTAATGAAAAAATTCAGTGCGCTTGTACTTATTGTTGATGAAAATGAATAGACAACTTCGAAACGCCAATATGTAATTTGTGGATTATCAATAAATAATGTTTTCATCGCTGTAAAATTACTTGTATGAATACCTATATTACATATAAAAGTTAATTTAATAATTATGAGAAAAAATCTTACCGAAGAATAAAATATTCTCAAATTGATTCGTTTGATTAAATTGATTCCATTGAACGCCTTTAAAAGATCCATTGCTGAAGCCTTGATAGATATTCCAAGTTATATTTTTGATTGTTGTACAAGTACCGAGACAAATAGAAAAAAGGGCGAGTTGTGTTGTTGGATTGAGGAGTTGAAATTCTAAATTTGGAATACACATTGTTGAAATAACACAACTAAAAAGGAAATGAATATTCTTCATCATGATATAAAATAAATAACTACTCACGCAACGGCAATCATTTGAGGATAAGTATTATCTACTTGAACAAGTACATAGCCAGTTGCTTGAATCGATGAATTTCGACGATTTTTCATCCATACCATAAATTCATATGTTTGATTAAATAAAAGTAATTTAGGTAATAATGTTATTGATGATTTTAATGGAGAGTATTGTATTGAATTATCTAAATTAAGATCAAACACAAATCAAAAACCAAAAATATAATAATTACTTGATTGATTTGATAAACACGATGGATTTAGAGGATCAATTGTTGGATCATCAATTGATATTAATATTCCTAAATTATTTGGAAAATTATAAATACCATAGATTCGACAATAATATTCATAGTCCCAATCCTATGAACACGAATAAACTAAGAAGATTGTCAATCAAATCATAGGATTATTACTTACACTTGCATTAAATACATTTCCATCGGAATCGACAGAATATGATCCCGGATCAAGTGTTAAATTTTGTTGATAACCTCGTGTAACCATTGATGTTCCAAATGGAACAAGATTTGCTACAATACCTGATAAAGTGATTTTTACATACGCAGAAACTGATGAAGTTAGCTCAGGTGCAGCGATCATAGTAACAGTTAATGCTAATTCATAAATACCCAATGGTAAGGTGAGTGCTGGAATATAAAGTTCGCTAGCTGTTGTTACCACTGATCGACCGAGCTCAATTTGAAATAAACAAGCTGAAGTACAATTTTTGACAGCCCATCTCATAATTGTTGCAAGGGAATTATTACACTTCAATTGAATGTATGTACTAATAAAAAAATCTTGATTTCGTCGAAATTCCATCGGTGATATTAAAGATGATGAACTAGGAATTAGAATAATAACAGGTGCAAAACAATCTAAATTCAAGAAGATTTTTAAAACATTTGTTCATAGTAATTATAAATTGATTACTTTGATTGACAATGGAAACTTTCGATGATGTGATTAATGACATCGTTGTCATTATTATGGGCTTTGACTGGATTGAAGTTGCTTCTTCACTGGAAATGAATTGATCTTGAATTGAAGTCGATTCTTGTTGGAGCGAAATAGACTGGTATTCAACTGCAGTGGATTGATGTTGAAGAGTAGTAGATTGTGTAAGAACTGATCCGGTTGATTGTTCAAATAAAGTATTCTGTAGTAGAACTGATGTAGATTGTTCCTGCATCGAGATAGTTTGCTGTGGAATTAAAATTGTTTGTTGTTGAATTGAAGTGAACGGCTGTTGGGTTGAAGTCATTTGTTGTTGCATCGAAGTCGTTTGCTGTTGTACTGAAGTTGTTTGCTGTTGTATTGAAGTTGCCTGCAGAGGAGCTGAAGTTGTTTGTTGTTGCATTGAAGTTGTGTGCTGAGGAACTGAAGTCGTTGGTTGTTGAATTGAAGTAGTTCCTAAAAATATTCATTATTTATCACAGAGTTAGTGATATTTTGATTAACCAACCTTCTACAATTGGCGTTGTGATTAGACCAACAGTTGTTTCATCTAAGAAAAATAATCATTTCTAAATTTATTTGAATATGTGAAATTGTAGAATAATTTCGAGACTTTTAAAAGTATTTAGAAGGAAAGGAAGACGCGCGGATTTTTAAAACCTTGAGAACTAACGATTCTTTATGATGCTTCGAAGTTCTAAGAATTTTGTTGAATTCGTCGCAATTTCTCCGACTTTTTAATAAATATCTTTGGCTGTTTATTAAGAACGTTAGAATTATTAACACTATTTTTTATAGAATCAGCTGATTATTTTAATCGTAGACTTTAAGAATTGTTCTCAGATTCATCAATACAATTCAATTCATTTTAGTGTCGGTGTCTTCTCATTGAAGATTTCGATAATTGTTAACTGATCTTCGTCTGTTTTAGGACCACTAATTTGAAAAACATTCTTGAGGTCTACAACTGAAATACACAACTGATCGTATAAAAATAGTGGTAATAATTGTAATGTTCTTATATATATATATCTAAACTGTAAGTACCATAAAAATTGCATATCTTTCTCCGGATAAAGCAACTTTGGATATCTCACTACTTACTAGGATCGACAAGACTAAAGTAATGCGATTCAGGGACCTTATTAGCACGACTACCCAACAGAACACTTTATTCCATTACATATGAACGCAAACATCAATCAGAGAACTTACGTGTACTTGAGATTGATGTCATAGTTGTACAGTTTGTAATATTGATTGAAATCGTCTTATTGTAAACAATTTGATTCTGTTTTGAATTATCATTATAAGCTTCAATGGCACCTACTAGTCCTTCCATATCATCAAAGATAATGTCGCCATTCTTCATGATTTCAAAACCCCAAGTATATCCATCGCCTTTATTGTACGTTAAGAAAGTAAATTTATTTAAGCCATTTTTTATATAAGGAGTAACATCAATAAAATCCGAATCTATGTATGAAAGTTGACGTGTAACATAGTATTGATTGACAAAAGCATATGATACATCATCCGAGTTAAACACACGAATGGAATACATGTCATTCATGCAGCCTGTAACTAGTAAGAAGACAAAGATTATTATGTTATATATGAGTTATATGTAAACGTATAGCACAAAATTAGTAGTAGTCATATTTCATTATATGTATTTAAATATTTTGAAATACTTAACCGTTGTAGAATATTTCATAGTTTATTAAAATTCACTCGTCGAACATTCACTCTACTAAAAACTAATTCGATAGACATCAAGATCTTCTGTTATCAGATAAAAATTCACTTCTAAAACTGGTTCTCTACTAATGTTCACAGATATTTTGATCTTTTCATCTCGTTAGCGGCTGTTCGAAGTACATTATTATCCAAGAATGTCAAACTATGGAAATATTGAACAGCTCAATATTTGTCCTATATTTCTCGTAAAACTTGGCATCTTAAATTTATATCTCCAATTACTTATTTTTATGTGTTCGAAAAAAACTCACAATATCGTGTGTCTGTTGAAGAGATGATTCTATTTAAAGCAAAGAACGAAACGATTAAGAAAATTCTCATTTAGATTCGATTCGATTAAATTCAATAGTACTTCCCTTCTATTTCGATATGAATTCAAATATTAATCTAACAACTTACCTGTACTTGGTGTTGATGTCACTGTCGTACATTTTGTAGCATTGATAGAAATTGTCTTATTGTAAACAAATTGATTGTATGTTGAATAATCATCATATGCGGCTGTGATACTTGATAATCCTTCTGTGTCATCGAAGATAATTTCACCGTTCTTCATGATTTCGAAACCCCAAGCATATCCATCATATCTATTGTATGTTAAGAAAGTAACTTCATTCAAACCATTACGTATATAACTAGTGACATCAATAAAACCAGTATCTGCGCCGTTTTGTTGCCCGGTAACATATTGTTGATTGATAAACGCATATGATGCGTCATCCATATTATACACACGAATAGAATACAAGTCATTGATGCATCCTGTGATTCGAAAGAAAATAAAGACTACTATATAATGTATGTTTAATCACAACTACAATAAAAATATCTTGATATCTGCGTGAACTAAGGAACATGAATAGTTTTCTGTTTGGCTAATATTAGAGTAGAATCTGATTACTACTTACGAAAAAGCTGCTAGAGGTAACGCATAGCTTATAAAACTGGACTACGTAAATGTAGTGCACCCTAGTAAAAAGTGAAATACCATGTGTCGACTCATTCCCTTATTACTTTGAAAGAGAATTATGATAAATTCACTAATACTAAGACATACGGTACCATATGAGTAGTAGTACTAAATCAGTGGTTTGTATTCTAAAATTGAATTTATAAAAACATCTTATCGATACTAGAATATCTTGTAAGGTTCATACAGAGTCCATCATTTTTTAAACGCTTATGATTACAAAAACATGCACGACTTGTTTTGTTAAACTTACAGAATATTCTCATATACATAAAATCTGTTTAAGTACAACGTTTTAGAACCAGATTCAGTGATTTATTACTGCTAATTATATAGTACCATAGATTAGAAGAACGCTAACAGGACGAATTACCTTAAGGTATTTCAATATTTACTACGATCGACACGACTAAAATAATTCGATTCATAGTTATTCAATAGAACACTGTATGCAGACCTCACGCTCATATACACTCCAATACATATAAACTCAAATATCAGTTTGACAACTTACCTGTACTTGGTGTTGATGTTACAGTTGTACACTTTGTAATGTTGATAGAAATCGTGTTATTATGAACAAACTGATACTCTTTTGAAATGTCGTTAAGTGCATCGGCACCTAGTAATACTTGTGTGTCATCAAATATAATGGCATTATTTTTCATGATTTTGTAACCCCAAGCATATCCTACATTTTCGTTGTATGTTAAGAAAGTAAATTTATTTAAACCATTTTTTATATAAGGACTAACATCAATGAAACCGGAGTCTGTATTCAAGCGTTGGTTAGTAACATATTGTTGGTTGATAAAAGCATATGATGTATCATCTGTGTTAAACAGACGAATAGAGCATAAGTCATTGTTGCAGCCTGTGATTTGAAAGAAGATAAAAATTATTTTATTATGTATATTTTGTAGTAACACGGGGAAAATAAATTTTTTTATTCGTTTTTCTGTCGAACATGAATATTTAATGAGTGCGTCTGAATGAGGTTTTGTATTGTCAATGATATAGTTAAGGCTTTACTCTTCAAAATAGAGATTTTACTTTGATTGAAACAAAGATTAGATGCGACGCTCATAATATGAATGAATCGAATGAATAATTTGTTTTATGGGATAGCTTATTCTAACCCACGCGATTCCATAATAGTCGATGGGACTTTTATACTGTGTAATATGTTACTCTCTTTTAAAATTGTTTTATATATAAGTTTTATATCGGTCTAAATCGTTCTTTTAATTGTCATTTTGACCAGAACAAATTGTTAGATTGTGATGTAGTGATATTAGCATATTCTTCTACGCAGGTATTTGGTCTTTTTCTTTCCCTATGACATATCTCATCATATCGCGATATATATATATATATATATATTGTGGGGAGAATTACAATTTAGCTAGTGATAAATTTATGCAAAGAAAATATTTAAAATCAATGAGTTATAAAGTTTTTATTCAACAATTTTTTTTTAGGATTTTACAGCTACAAGTCTAAATACTTCACTTTCTGAATCCATATCTTCAAAACAATCTCGTTTTAAATGGCAATATGTCGAACAAAAAACTCCATTTGTTTTATTAAACTTCCAGAATATTCACATATTCATAAAATCTGTTTATACACAATGTTTTAGACCCAAAGTGACTCATTTATAACTGCTATTCGCATAGTACATTAAGTTAAAATAGCAATGATCGACAAAACTAGAGTAGTTTGACTCATAGTTGTCCAATAGAGTACTGTATGTAGACTTTACCTTCTTCTATATTTCATCACATATGAACTCAAATATTAATCTAACAACTTACCTGTACTTGGTGTTGATGTCACAGTTGTACATTTTGTAATGTTAATAGAGATCGTCTTATTATAAACGATTTGATTCTCTTTTGAATAATCATTATAAGCTGCAAAGGCGCCTGCTAGTCCTTGCATGTCATCAAAGATAATTTCACCGTTCTTCATGATTTTGAAACCCCAATTATATCCATCATATCCATTGTACGTTATGAAAGTAAATTTATTTAAACCATTT